CATCACTAATGAAGCACAGATTCATCATCTGGCACAGAATGCATGACTAACAAATCTAAGTGTCTTTTGTTGTATTTATCTGGTACATTCATTGATTTTGACTTCTCCAGTCATTTCCTTTATCGTAAATTTGTATACTCATTTTGCATGTAAATTTATAATTTTGTTTATCATAAAATCTAAGTTTTTATTATGTAATGAAATATATACAAAGCTGTCGCATTTTTACACTTATATACACAATACACTTTATATACACAATACACTTTATATACACTATACACATTGTCTACTCTACACTAATATACATTGTATATTCGATCAATTATCTAGTATGAACAATTTAAATTCGATTAAAATATTATTATTAGAGATATGTTTCTATAATAACTTTATTTTGATTTGCAAAATAAAATATATAATTTACAATACATCCAGTGAATACTACCTGTTGTTTAATAACTACACTAATGGATAGTCACCTTCATGCACTACGAGAATTAGACAAAACAGGAATCTCTGATTCAATTGCTTGTAACATTGAAGACTTGCCTAATATTCTGCCACTCCATAGTTCTAATCTAAATGTAATAACACAGAACATAAGGAGTATTTACAGTAACCTAGATGATTTAGAATTGACCCTCTCACAATTACCTTGTGAAGCAGATATATTGATTTTAACTGAATGTCGACTAAATGTAAATAAACAAATACCGCATATAAGTAACTATTCATCTTACTTTACTACAAAAAACCTGAATCAAAACGACGGTGTGGTTGCTTTTGTTAAGAACTGTCATCAGGCTGAAGTTGCTGAATTGAATTTGGATGACGCATCTGGACTTGAAATTAATATTTTTGAACAGGTGATATTAGGTATATATAGGTCCCCGTCTAACATAAAAGCCGATAATTTTATAGATTCAGTTGGACGCCACTTAGAAACAATAGACTCATGTAAAAATATAACAATTATCGGAGATATAAACATAAACTTAATAGTCAAACAAACGGAAACCACTTATGAACGTAATAATCGTTTAAAATACTTAGATACTTTATCTTCACTTGGCATGCTCCCAGGCCATTACTTACCGACTAGGAACAGTAGCTGTCTCGATCACGTGATTTTAAAGCTTGATAAACATCGCCATTCTGCTTTGGTTGCAGTACTAAATTCATCAATTACAGATCATTCTATGATACTACTATGTCTAACAAATATATCTGATAAAAAAACAGTAAATACAAAATCTAAAATTATAGTTGACCATAAAAATGTATGCAAGTCACTTTCTGCTGTTGATATTTCACGATTTAGCATCTATAAAGATCCTAATGCACTTGCGGATGCTTTGATTGGACTTATAAAATCCGAAATACAAATAAATACAAAAACTAAAATAATTCCTAACTCTAAAACAAAATTGAAACCTTGGATGAGTACTGGAGCCCTGCGCTGTATTAGACTTAGGAATAAAATGCAATTGAAACTGAAATCAGAACCCCACAATGATATATTAAAAATTACTTTCAAGCGCTTTAGAAATTATTGTATCAACTTAATAAAAAAACTGAAACGTGAATACAATAGGAGAAAAATAGAAGCCACTTCGAAAAATTCAAAGAAACTTTGGAACACGATCAATGAAATAACTCAATTTAAAGCTCCAAAAACATCTAGCTCTGTTCTTATGAATCAGTCTATACAACCTCTTCAAACAATCAATAATTTTAATCAGTTCTTTGTTAATATTGGCAAGATATTAGCAGAGGAAATAACTCTAAATTATAATTCACAGCAATACAGTCAAAATAATGTTGATTGTCAAGTTTCTTCATTCGTATTGCTTGATGCTGATCCGCATGAAGTTAATGACCTCCTTATGGGACTTGATTCGGGCTGTGCTACTGGATGGGATGGCATATCTGTACAATTACTAAAAAGCTGTAGAGATTTTGTGGTCCCACTTATTACACAACTAGCCAATCTATGTTTCCACACTGGTGTGTTCCCTAGAGCTCTTAAGCGTTCCGTTGTAACTCCTGTATTCAAGAGTGGAGATAAAAGGGACATAAATAATTACAGACCTATCTCTGTACTTACTAGTATTTCTAAAATAATAGAAAAACTATTAAATAATAGACTCTTGAACTATTTAAATAAAAATGAAATATTATCAAGTTCTCAGTACGGTTTCAGACGGGGAATATCAACGGAGAATGCAGTCATAGATTTAGTGACTCATATTACAGCTTATGTTGATAAAGGGGAGAAATGTCTAGCTGTATTCCTAGACCTCAAAAAGGCCTTCGATACTGTTTCTGTACCTATACTAATAAAAAAGCTTGAAGGCATTGGTATTAGGGGTACTGCTCTCTCTTTGTTAGAAAGTTATCTCTCAGAAAGAAAACAAGCTATTAAAATTGACAATTTAAATAGTTACGAAGAAAATATCACATACGGAGTTCCACAAGGCAGTGTGCTAGGCCCTTCACTGTTCTTAGTTTACATTAACGACCTGTGTAAGCTTCGAATTAGTGGAGTACGAATTTTCTGTTATGCGGATGATACTGCACTTGTATTTTCTGGTCATTCCTGGGAGGCAGTACAAACCGTTACTGAACTAGCTTTGGCTGAAGTGTCAAATTGGCTTAACACAAATCTTCTGACGCTTAATACGACAAAAACAAATTATATATGTTTTACCCCAAGTCAAAGATCTCAACCGGCTGATGATTTCCAAATTAAAATTCATAGTAGTAAAAACCATCCATCCACCGAAAACTGTAACTGCCCCAGTATTTCAAAAGTAATCAGCACCAAATACCTTGGAATTATAGTGGATCAAAGACTATCATGGCATTCACATATTGAATTGGTTATCGCCCGAGTCAGGAAACTTACCTGGATATTTAAAACATTGCGATATGTCATGTCTAGTCAACTTCTGAACAAAATTTATGTTGCGTTAGTTCAGCCTGTGATAACGTACTGTATTCCTGTGTGGGGAGGAAGTTCAAAGTATAAATTACTTGATCTTGAAAGGGCTCAAAGATCACTCCTCAAGGTAATGTATTTCAAACCTTACAGATACCCCACAGACAATCTGTATAAACTTTGTAATCTTTTATCTATCCGGCAGCTGTATTTATTAAACACTACCCTGGCATTACATAAGACATTAAAATATGATCCTTCAAAATTAGACAGAAGACGTAAAGATATTGTGTTTCGTTCCCTTCCAACTCGCACTGATTTTGGTAGACGTCAATATCCCTCTCAAAGTATTTTCATTTATAATACTATAAACAACACAACATGTATCCTATGTTGTCATATAAATATAAAACAACTCTAGTTAATTGGCTGAAAACACTTAACTATGAAGACACTGAATTAATTTTAAAAAGAATAACATAATGGTCGTACTGGAGGTTGAATATATATACAACTGTACACACATTCACGCACTTATTCTCCATCTCACACAGACACACACACACACATACACACACACACACATTCATACACACACACACTTATACTAATACACCTGATACTTTAAGAAATTAGTTGTTATGTGCCCAAAATTTGTTAACTGCACTAGGCTAAGAGCGAGGTATCCCAACACAAGTATTAATTATTACTTTCTGGGTTGTCTCAACTTGTACTGTAATCTGACTCTTTGGGAAATAAAAAAAACTAATTTTAAATATTAACTATGTATGTGATATTTTTCAATATTTATTTATTTTGATATGGTCTTTTATATATGCGGTTGTTAATAGTTTGTTTCGTTGTCATTATTGTTAGACAGCTTATATCTAATCTTCATATTAATTAAATATTTCTTGCTTTTTTATTTTTTAGTGCCGCCATCTATCGCGAATTAGCAGCATTTCTATATATTTACTGCTATCTATCGTAAAAGCAAGAAAGTGTTTTTGTAAACAATCAACGCCGAAATCTCGCGGGGGTTTATAAGTTAAAAATTATTATTTTTTATTTTCTTGGGCCTAGCTGATAGTCTTATCGTCGTTATTTCCGATTTCCTTGATACAAAAGCTTCAGTAAACTCATTTTGAATGGTAGTATTATTATTACTAATTACAATTATTGTGTATATCATGTTTTACATTATTTATTTAATTGTTATCGTCTGAAATGTTTATTATAGTTTATTTCTTGCTCGTTATTCGCTACAAAGCTTCTATCTAATCTTCGTAAAATATTTAAATAATTTCACTGTTTTATAACGTTTTAGTGTCGCCATCTATAGTGAAAATAAAGCATTTTTTGTACGATTACGGCAGTGCTTCTGTTGCAGGACTAGCATGTGTGCTTTTAATTTTCTGGCCATTAAGATAGTTTGCTTAAAATTCCTTAGATGGAGCGTGCGATTGCAAGGATATTTATGAAACTTTGTTGTATATGGAATAAAGCTTATTTTTGTTTGAGAAAAATATAACTGAAATAGCATATTAATGTTTCATTTAAAGTGATTAGTATATTAGTTATAAAATGATATCGGTATAGCAATAAATGAACACCAATGAACTCTCCTTATTACTTTTCAGGCTTAGGACTGTCTGTAATTTATGTAATCGTTATTTTAAACAACAATGAACATTGTGAAGCAGATTACAGGCGTATTTAAAAGTTCATTGGTTAAATGTACAGATATCAATTATTTACATATTGTTCATATTTTTTTTGTCAACCACCTTTATTTACACCTATTATTTTAATTATTTTAGTAATATTTATATTTTATTTACATTTAAAAACATTAATTGGCCTACTTTTGTTGTAGATAACCGTGTTCTTCGATCACTAATAGTGTATCCTGATTTTGAAAAAATACGTTCACATGGTACTGAAGTGGCCATGATGTTGCAATGTTTTAAAAATAATTGAAACAATTCGGTATAAATAAATTTATGCTCTCGCCAGTACTTTAGCGGACATTCCGTTCTTTTTATTAGATTGTCAGCTAAATATTTTTCCAACTTTTCGGCAGCCTCAATATCTGGCGTCTTTTGTACAAATTCTTTATCGGTTTCGGTGTCAAATTGGGACCACAGAATGAAAGTTTGTGATGGCACAAGATCAACAGCTGATGTTGCCGGTTCAGATGATGATGGTAGTACAGGTCCGCTATCTCATTTGTAATTTTAATTTTTAATATATTCTTAATTTGTTCAATCTGTTCTTTGTTTTTTATAGCTTTTAATTTGAACCTAGGATCCAAAACTGTGCTCAAACAAATGGTCTCGTTTGTTTCTAAATTTCCTAACCGACTTAACATGGCATCTTTTAATTTTTCAGCGAGATTTTTGACTGGGTCATATAATTCTTGTTTTGTAAAATTATCACATATATTGATAAGGCTAGAAGTTAAAATTATAGCTTTACTTGCAACTAAATAATTTTCAGCGCTCATTTCGACGGTTGCTTTATAAAATGGTTTTAAAATAATAGATACTTGTTCTATACATTTCCACTCCTCTATAGGTATGATTGGAAGATCAGTATTTAAATTCGGAATAGTGGCCCGCAAAGCTTCTGCTAGTTCAATAAACCTTTCCAGCATTAAGAAAACCGAGTTCCACCTCGTAGGTACAGCTTTTATAACCGTTTTTGGCTGAGCCACATTCTGTTGGTTAGATTGGTATTTAAGTAATTTCTCTTTGGCTATAGTGCTCTTACGAAAGTGATTGACTACTTTTTGCACTTTAGCCAAAGTATCTTTTATTTCGTCAAGGGCATCTTGGACTACGAGGTTCAATTTATGAGCATAACATCCAAAATGTGGCAAGTCATCGTCTTCGAAGTATTTGGCAGCACTCAACATATTGGATGCATTATCGGAGACAAAAAAATTAACTTTGTCGTAAATGCCCCAGTTTTGCAAAATTGACCTTATGTCTCTGTAAATTCTTATACCAGTATGGTGACCTTCAAATTCGCCACATTGAATCAGAACTGATTTTAATTCTACAGGATTTTTTGTCATAAAATGCGCCGTTATAGCCATGTAGCTATCCAAACTACGGGAAGTCCAAGAATCGACTGTAATGCAAACTGATTTTGCATTTATTTGGACGAACGATTTAATGTCTTCCAGCCTCTTCTCGTAAACTTTTGGCAGTAAATTCACTGACAACGTTTTTCGGTCCGGTATTTCATAATTTGGATTCAGGGCGTATACTCACGAAACCCTGCGTCATTAACTATTGAAAAAGCTTGAAAGTAATAAACAATCATTTTTAATAAACTTAAATCAATATTGTTCTTTTCATCGGGCTTGATTTTTTTTGGCAGATACGTATGCATAGCTCTCTGAATTTTTTAGGGGGTTCAATATCATCCCTTTTCCCGTTAGTGTTTTGTCCATCTGTCTCGCCACCACCACTATCACATGGTGAGTTATTACCACCAACACGAGCTTCTATCTCACGCGAAACTACTTTTTCAGATCGTGTGTTAGAATTTGTGTTAGGCTTAGAATTTAAAAAAAGATTAAAGGCCGAAACGTGCTTTTGTTTCAAATGACTTTTTAAATTAGTTATTGTCGTTTTATATGACAACTGCCGCCGACAATGATTACAAATTTCAATTTTGCTACCATCTGAGGACTTTTCAAAAAAGTTCCAAATAGATGGAGCACCTCCACCACTAGCCATTTTTGTTTTATAATAGTATTGTCTTAAACTAAAATTATAATTACAATATTGTTTTCTATATAACTAATATTTACACTATTTTGCACATATACAATAAACAAGTCACAAACAAAAAATCTTATAAAAAATAATGTCAGAAACCACGCAATCTATTTATCGCCCGCGAAAATAAATGTTTTCCAGCTGCAACGCGACGTTGCGAAAATTAACAGTAATGAACCGCTGCTAACAACGCGCACGCGATTACTGGCTGGCCTGCCTGGTAGCGTCGCATCTAGCGCCTCCCGCTGCCCGCTGCCGCGCGCGGTCAATCAACTCAATATATGCTATATAGCGTTAGCGTCTTGTAGCTTTATTAAATAGCATGTGATACGTGCTATGGACAAATAGCGCGCTATAATATGGCGCTAGACGCTATATTAACCACCTCTAGTCGACTGTGCCCTCCTTGCCTATTTGCGGATACCTCCGGAGGCCGTGAGGTATCGGCTGTGGCGTATTCCACAGCTTCACTTGCCACTCGTCTACCAACATGAGGGTTGGCGCCCTCATGTCCCCCTTGCAATAAGTCCTCCGGTCGGGGCCCGGACGGACATCCCCAGCAGGTTGGGTAAGCCCCTGCTGAGGCGAAGTGGCGCCATGGGTCTGTAACGGCTCCATGGTGCCTCGCCCCCGTCCCTCCAGATCACGTGTATTAGCGCGGGGTTTTTGCAAAAGCTTAACGAGGGTGGACCGCTTCTCGCGCCATACGTGACCCTTCATCAGAAATTTATAATCATTTGTTATAATTATACTGCATATTACTGCAAAGTCAAAATAAATATGTGCGTCTGTGTTTCCGAGCACATATAATCCGACTCTTTTTAAAGCTAGAGGCTCCTTCTGGGTAAGCTCGCTACACCGTAGATCCCATCTTTGCTCTCGGGCTAGATAGCGGATCAAGAGCTTACCCATTAAGCGATAAAAAAAAATCTTTATCCTAATTGAATGCATAGTACAACTCTTTTGAGTCGTCGAAAAAAAAATTTTCCTCCTGCTACTCGTTATTGGACATATTTTTTTAGCTGCAGAAAAAAACGAGCGAAAATATTCTTTAACAATAAAAAGAATAATGGAACAACATTTACAAACCATCATGTTGTTATAACGTCAATACAAACATGATTTATTTCATATAGAAAACCTGTTGGAATGATTGGAACAGTTCAAACCCAAAAATGCCTGGGTTTGAACTGATCCAATCATTTGAATAGGATTTCTATATGAAATAAACCACCTGTGATATAATCAGACCCTTTGTAAAAAGACCTTTAAATGAATTACTGTTTTTGTAAAGCCTTGTAGCAGGCAAAGTTAGTTTATTTTATTTCTTGTATTGAGTTGAAACATCACTGTTTTTAATAAATTAATTAATATTTTTCACAAATAATAAGTTTTAATATGTATTGTGATGCAACTGTCATTATGCCAATTTCTTTAAACGGGAAAAAATACTGATTTAGTTTACAAAAAATATTTTTGAAATTCGTTTTCTCGAAACCTAGGCCGATATTGAAAGTAATATTTTTGTGGGCAATAAACCTTATTATAAGGAATCTATTTGTACTAGACAGAGATTTTACTTCGAGCTAGAAAAGAAAAAAACTGATATCGAAAAAAAAAATTTTTTTGGGGATTCTATTGTCATTTTTTATTAAACAAAAACAGGATATTATGCGCCAAGAATTGCTTCATAAGCCTGTAATTAAATGTAATTAAATAAAAATAAAACTCAATCACGTATAGTTCTCTTAATAGGAATTATTTTCAGTATTTTGACCTCCGAGGTCACGTAATCTTTAAGATTTTTTTAAAAATAAACTATACAGAATTGACCCCTGGGAGTTCTACTCTTGCATTTGTAATAACCTATTGAGTCTAAATGTTCGATAAAAAGCGAATGTCACTTTTTTGGGGCAAAAAAAAAACTGGAACGTAGTAAACACGCTTTCCACTTCCTTTTAAGGCGTTTTAAGACCTGTTCTCTACACAATGGATATATATGCCAGTCGCTTTAAATGCTCTCAACAAATTTCTCTTCACGCCTCCGGAAATATCGGAGAATGGAGCATGTGGTTTGGCTTCGACATTTTTCATTTTTTCCAGTGCATTATAAAGGAGTCTTGGAAATGAATCTTGAGGAACTGTAGGTAAACGGGGATTTTGTATCTTCCAGGCAGTTAGTATTTGCCTCCAGGCAGACTTCAATGGTTGAAAGAAGGCCAAGTCTAGTGGCTGAAATAGATGAGTGGAATTTGGTACTAAGCACACAAAATCGATCGCATGTTCCTCGCAGAGCTTCAATACACCCAGCATCGAGATGTGAGGAAAGGTTGTCACCTATGATTAGTTTTCTACCCGGCAAAGCGAAGAAAAGTGGTCGTAAACCTGACGCGAAAGGTAACAGAGTCTATTCACCCACTAGATGTTCGATTAAATCTGGAACCCTGGGAAGAACAGGTCTTTTTCCAGCATGGTGCACCACGTGGTGCACCCTCCTTCCATGTATCGTACATATGGATGCTTTTATAGATAACTAGCAAACCAGTGAACCAAATGTTCACCAAAAAAAAAATGTATTTAATTAATTGAGAACTTCGGAGATTTTGTGTGGTTTCGTTTGAAATAGAAATAACGTGATTTCTCGAAAACCGGAAGTGCTACGTTACTCACATCTGGTTTGTAGTCTTATCAGACTATTCTCAACTTATAACTTAAACATTCTCTTTATCTATCTCTTACGGTTTGGCCGCTGAAACAGCACCACGGACGGACGGACGGACTTGTCTAATAGATAAGAGATATACGGTGGCAAAAGCACTCCGTCCGCTGAACCACATACCATGACCGTGGTTACGCTTTTGGTGAAATTCATTACTTTCTCAGGGTACTTTTGTAGATGCTTATTTTTTTGCCTGGGTCGTCACTTACATTCGACTCATCATAATTAAATATATTTGATGATAGTACTTTTGCAATGGTTTTTTTTTCTAAATTGTCGAAAGTAGTTGTCAATTGAGTCGTGTGAGACTTTCGTTCTTCATTTTTTTATGTTAGTAGCGACTCGCTTGGAATATGCATTTTTGTGCCTTTTTAAAATAGAGTAGGCCCAATCTTCTCCAGGCAAATTATTTTGAAACTCGGACACTGTTCTTCCCTTCACATCAAGGTAAGATTTATCAAAAAATCTCAAATCTAACATACTCAAAGGATACCCCCAATCTGCACATTTGGCAGCGGATTTCAAGAGTGTTATTTCTTCGGCCTCACTGAAAACTGTTTGAGCACCAGGTCTCTTTACATGTTTACCTTTGTATCTATTTCTTTTCTTGGCGTAAGCAAGTCTAGTTTAAAACGGGTAAAATAACAACGAAAAATAATGACTTGATACGAGTAAGATTCTTATTTTATTGGTATCATTATCCTATTGTGATAAAAACGGTTAGCAAATCTTTCCATTAAAAACAATGCAATTAGGTGTTTAATAAAATCCAATAAATTTCCGAAATAAATTCCAAAAGTTTAGCTGGGAGAGCGGCGTTCGTACAAAAATATGAGTTAATAATTTGAAATCATCAGATATTTTCAGAAGAAGCTTGAAAATGGGTGAAGAAATATCGGAGTGCTCTATCCGATAAGGGTTGCCAGGCCATAAAATGCAAAGGCCGGACTGCGCACTATATAAGGCCTGACATTTTGCTCTAAAAGCCGGACCTTTTTTTTTATTGCCAAACAATGTTTTTACGGCTGGGCTGTTGCAAAAGTATTTATTTATACGTGATGTAAAATGAAAATGAGATCGAAGATGGAGTGTGTTCCAGATATATGCATATTCGATATCTATATATATAAAAATGTTATGTTGATTTGTGTACGCTTCAAAAACTCAAAAAGTTCTGCACCGATTGTGTTGAAATTTTAACATGATATAAAATCCGCATCAAGGATTGTTTTTATCTATTTTTTGCATCAGTCACATATCTGCGAGAAAATAGTTTTTTTTTAACGATCAGCTGTGTACCATAGACCGCGCCATCTGCCAGAAGCGAGGAAAACACTCGCTGACAACCGCAGTAGTAATGACGCAGTCACATGAGAAACAATTTCGTTCCCAATTACATTGTTTTTTTACAAAAAAATTTGCATCTGATTCTTATACAATCTGAATTAAATGATGGACAGTAAAAAGATTATTTTTTTGCAATTATTATTTATTTAATATTAATTAATTAAATAAGTAAGTAAAATATTAGTTAATTAATTAATCAATAACAAAACATATTTATTATTGAAGTGAATCTTTTTTAATAATCGTGTTCCCGAGTCGGCAAACCAGATAGTCTTTATATCTACGCAGACAGTGGAAAAACAAAAAATATTGTATATCCACAAGTATTGCAAAATTAAACTTATATGAAATGTATTCTTTGTTTTGTTTCTCATTTCTCAACCATTCAATCACAATGTGCCACTGCGAAGCGTGGCAGGGTACAGCTAGTTTATAATAAAATAACCCGTTTACGAATTTGAAATGTTTATTAAGTTACACTATTACAGCTTTACTTACAAATAAATCATCAGTCTTTTGTAGATTATAATTAAGTATTATTATAACTAAAAAACAAACGAATATAGCTCTCTTTTGACATTATTAATACGATAAACTAAAGAATATAATAAAATAAATAAAAATAACCATTCTTCTGGAAAGTAACAAAATGATAATATTAATTTTACGGCTAGGTAAGAATTTACTTTATAGTAGGTATTTATAGAACAATTTAAAATCTTTAAAAAATAACAAAAACTGGTTATATTTGGTACTTGCACCTACTTTGTCAAGAATGTCGTTTTCCTTAGAAATCATATCGTAAAATTCTTTACATGTTAATTTTAAAATGCATAATAAGAACATCATCTTAGTAATTGTATCTGTTTGCAGTCTACTGCGTTCCTTTGTC